AAGTGTACCTTCCTCCTCAATTTTCTGAAAGAGTTTTCAAAGAACTAAAGTTGTTTTTTCTTTAATATTTGATGGAATTCACCAGTGAAGCCATCTGGTCCTGGGCTTTTCCTTGTGAAAAGATTTCTAATTACTAATTAAACATCATTATCTATTATAAGACAGTTTGGACTTTCTATCTCTTCTTGGTTTTCTCTATTTTAATGTTTTCTTTGCTTTCTGCATGTATATAAAATTATCTATTATTTCCTTTCTTCTGCTTCCTTGAGCAGAAGCTTGCTTTTCTTTTTCTGGTTTCTGAAGATGAAGTTTAGGTTACTGATTTGAGAACTTTCCTTTTGGAGTTAGATGTTTAAAGCTACAAACTTTTCTCTAGGTACTGCATTAGCTGCATTCCATAAATTTTAATATACCACATTTTTATTTTAATTCAGTTCAAAATATTTTCTTATTTTCTTTGTAGTATCTTCTTTGATCCATGAGTTATTCATGTGTGTTATTTAATTTCCAAATATATGGGGATTTCCCAGATTTCTTTTTATTTCTAATGTATTACCATTGGGGTCAAAGAACACATTTTGCATGATTTTAGTCGTTTTAAAATTTGTTGAGAATTGTTTAGTGGCCAAACATATGGTCTACCCTGGGGAATGTTCCATGAGTGCCTGGGGTTATTGGGTGGAGTGATTTAAATCACCACCCAAGTCTAGACTCACTCCTGAGTGGCACAATACAAACAGACCCAACCCTGCAGAGCAAAGGCTTGGAAACTTAACTGAAACTGGAACCCACCCATAGAAAATGAGACAGGACTTCTGCTCTGAAACAGACTGGGTTGATAATCCACTAGAACAAGCAACTTGACATTATCTAGGGAATTCTACATCATTCAGAGAGTGCACAACATTCAGTTATGTACTCTTTTGTTTCTAGCTCCTTTCATTCAGCAGGACGTTGAGACACATCCTTTGCTGAGGGTATCAGTCGTTCGTTCCTATTTATTCCTGAGTAGTATTCCATCGTCTATACTGCATTGATTATCCTTTCAACTTCTAAGGAACATGCGGGTTGCTCAGGTTTTAGGCTTTTGTGAATAAAGCTGCTGGCAACTGTTGTGTACAAGGCTTTGTCTGGATCTGGCTTCGTTTCTCTTGGTTAAACACACAGGAATGGAATGGCTGGCATATGGCGGTGGATGTTTTAGCGGTTAAGAACTCAGCAGTTTTCCCACCAGCAGTGGAGAAGAGCCCCGTGTGGCCACACCCTGGCCCTGCACCGACATTTGGCACTGCCAACGAGTCTTCACAGTTCTAGCCATTCCAGTGAGCATGCAGTGGCACTTCATTTTGGTTTCAATTTGCATTTCCCTGACGAATGATGATATCGAACATCTTTTTATGTGCTTATTAGTCTTCTGTGAGGTGTCCAAATATTTCGCCTATTTTTAGCTGGGTTGTTTGTCTTCTTATTATTGAGTTGTAGGATTGCTTTTATATTTTAGATACAAGTTCTTGGAAATATTTGTGACTCTTTTCTCCCATTCTCTGGCTTGCCTTACTTCCTTTTGTTGTTTTTTAATGGTGTCTTTCAAAGAACAAAAGGTTTTAATTTTGGTGAAGTCCAATGTAGCAATTTTAATTGAAATTTAATTTCTGGTTTTACTAAGCACTGTGGTAAAAAGTACGTGCTCTCTGTCATGTCAAGTTTCAGATATATATTGAGTGTTTCTTTACGGTCTACTGAGTTTTGTAACTGCTCCATGGGAGTAGGAATTTAATATGTCATACTTGAAGCGTAGAAAGTAGAAATATAGCTGTTTTATAAACTGCTATTTAGATCTCCTATTTGTTTAGGTTTTGCCCCCCTGAGCAGTCAAATATGGAGAAAAATTTACTAAAGCACCCCATGACTATTTATGTAAATTTTTTCATATATTGCTAACACCCTTTTCATAAGGACTCTTGGCTTTCTCATGCAAAAATATATTCCTTTGTCCAGCTTATTGACTTGCATCGATGTTTATTTATATGATAGTATTACATTCTTTCTTTTATTCTGAATACAAGTGATAAAATATATTTTCCACATATAACTTTTGTGTAACTTTTAGTTGTGCCTTTATTATAAATAGCATATACACAGATTTATGTCAGCTAATCAGTACCTCTTTTTAACCTATTAAAATGTTACTACAATTATATACTCTATCTTATTTTGGACATTTTGTTCTGTTTCTACTTCTGTTCCTTTGGCAATATCTTGAGTTTTGCTTTTATCTTCTCAAGATTTTGATGAGAATGTAAAATCTTGTTAATTTTATTAATGCTTATGTTTATGCATTTAAAAAGTATTTTAACCTACATTTCCCTAATTTTAAGAAGCCTCTGAATCTCACCTTTTCATGGCAGAGTGTTAGTTACTGTACTTCCCTCTCTCCCTATCCACCTGCTTCTTGAACTTTATTAACATAACCTAAGGATTTAGATTTAAGTCGTTTGTCACATTTGTATTTTCTATATTCTGTACCTTCTGCTTCACGAATCGGTAAACGTTAGCATTCTATCTTATAACTAGATTTGTAGCAATTAGTTAAATTTGTCTTTATTTTGTTGGATTCCATTTTTCTCTACTCATCCTTCAGTATGATATTTTCCTCGTGTGTGGGATGTCTTCCGCTTCCTCTCTGAATTGATATAATTTTTCCAGAAAAGGAATAAACAGTATACATTATGTGAGCTCTTAGTAAGAAAATGTTTTTCTGTTTATTTTGCAAGTGAAAAACTCCTTGGTTGTGCATGCAGTTGGGTCACTGCCTTTCTCCTTCAGAACTCTGAAGCATTCCTCCATTATTTCTCTAATTTCTTTGCCAGTTGCATCCTACCTAGAAACTTGGTGGATTTTCATTTTATTCTTGAGGTTCAACACTTTTTCCAGAATGTATCCCGGTTTAATTACATTAATTTTACTTAATATATGTGGCCTCTTTCATATAGATCATGTCTTCTTATTAAAGGTACTACTTTTCTGAGTTTTCTTTTTCTGAAGTTTACAGTAAACTGTTTTCGGAAATACGCTTTTATTCTGTGACTGCTGAATACAAACGCCTTTTTCTTGTTCTACAAAATGTTTTCACAAGTCCTGTGTTGTTTGCTTGTTTTTCTCCTTACCCATGAATTCTGGGTAATCTGTTAATATTATATCACCAGCCCCAAAAGGTGCATTTATTGAGCCAAAGGTGCCTGTCATAGTCTCAGCTTTTGTCAGAAAGTTGTACGGTTAGCCTGAGCACTTTCAAGAGCCCCTTTTTTAGCCTTCTTCACTGTATACTTAAAACGTCTTGCCAGGGCCCCTCCTTCAATATTTTCTGTATTCCTTTAAATGTTAAGCTGATCAAAGAGTTTCCTGCACAGCAGCTCCACTGCACATTTGGGCCATATATACTTTCTTGGATCTGGTCTCTGATCATAGCAGAGGGAGCTGGGAAGAGATGCACATTCGTGTAGCAGGGACTGAAAGTCCCCACCTTCCAGCCCAGAAACTCTCAGCAGGAATCTAGTTTCTGCCCAAGGCACTGAGTGGGAAAACAGACAGAAGGGGGGGTCTCAGACCCGGCTCTCAGGACCCAGATCCAAACAATCTGAATCGAGAAAATAACAAGAAAGCACAGTTTCAAACTCGTAAACCCCACAGGGCTCTGCCATAAAACCTTCGAGATGCTTCTGCCACCAGTGTGTGCTCAGGACTCCTGAGGAGGATAACCCCCGCTGAAAATGAAATCACAGCAAGTATTGCAACACTCTTTATAATCAAGAAAACTTGAAAATAAACTAAATACCCTTGAATAGGGGAGCTGATGAATAAAATAGGGTATATTCATACGATAAAATACATTCAGTGTTAAAAGGAATGCACTAAATCAACACAGATAGGGCACAGATACATAAAATTCAATGTAAAAGAGCAAACAAGACTAATACACAAAATCTGTAGTTCTTACCTCTTTTTAAATGGAAGCATAAAAACTATGTATATATGTATATATAAAATATATGCATATATAATACATGCATATAATACATATGGACATTACATATGCATATGAAAGTATGAAATAATATACACTAAATTAATTATAGTGGGTTTTCTTAGGAGAGGAGAGAGTAAGGTGATTAGACATGAATAGCAAAGCAAACTAAAACTACATCTGTAACATTTTAGTTTAAATACACAGTGTTGACAATTGTTGATTCTTCCTGATGGGTACCTAGGTGTTTGTTCCCTGTATTCTTTTATAAATTTAAAATTTTTTCTCAAAGCTATAAAACATACCACTTGTATAAGAACTGGAGACAGCCTCTGTCCTCCTGAACTGCCACTTGAAAAGAATCTGCTGTAACTGATCAATACAACACGGTTTATGGCACATGAACACAGACAAGGATAACTTGAAGCCTTGCTCTGGAGAAAATGACTGGTCATGGGATTTTGCCTGTCAACTGACCCATGCTTCCAAAGCCTGACACGTTCTGGCCGTGACCACACTTGTCGACAGGACTTTGAAATGGCCGTTCCGGCACTGCTCTGGGGGTGAATCAAGGCAATCCTGAAGGAGGAAGGAGGACCCTCTCCCGGCCCACCCCGCCCTCTCCACTCACTGTCACCAAGGAGCTGCAGACCGGAGCCCACCCAGAGACCCAGGAGGGGCACAGAGTCAGCCCTGCCCTTCACACGCCCTGTAGGGAGCAGAGGGTCTGCGGGCTGAGCCCTCTCCCCCCGGGGCTCTTGTTCCTGACCGCGAGGAGCCTCCCCTTCCTTCGAGGCCCTGGCGGTGGTGCGTGTCCTCCCGCGCCAGGCCTAGGACCTCGTTCTCACCTGAATCCCTGATCCAGCTGCTGGGCTAATTCTGAACAAGTAAACATGCTGCTGGCACACGTGAGATCAGAATGTACCTTCCCCCCTAGAGAAGGGCTCTCGACATGGATGGCGCGGAGGCCTCTCACCTGCTCTTTCATTTCCGCGTAGATCTTCTCCGAGTTCAGCTCCACCTGCCGCTTGAACTCCTCCAGCGCTGCATCTGCCTGCTGCGCCTGCAGCCTCTGAACCTCAGTCACACGGGTGAGCTGCTCCTCTTTTTCCCTAGAAAAGTTCAGACAAGCCACAGAGTTAAAATGTAAAATAAAGGAACTTGGCTTGGATCAAAGAACAAAATTTAACCCTCTCTAAAATAAAATTCAGATTTCCATTTTTTGATCCAAATTCTATAAAACTTCCCTTTAAAAAACTGGCAATAACATGATTTGCCTCAGGACAAAAAGGATATAAACCCATAATATGTGTTCTGATGAGGACACAACTACTTCTGATGACTTCCCTAAGAACGAAACTGTTTACAACCGGGAACCTCCATCACCCAACGAATGGATAAGCAAAATGTGCCCATCCATGCAATGGAATATCATTCAGCCTCAAAAAAGGAATGAAGCTCTGATGCACCCTACAACACGGACAAACCTCGAAAACAGTGTGCAAGGGGTAAAGGCCAGACACACGGTCACATATTGTATGATTCTATCTAGGAGAAATATCCAGAACAGGTAAACCCATAGAGACAGAAGAAGCAGATTAGTGGTCGCCTGGGCCGATGGGACAGCGGGGATGGGGAGTGGCTGCTCACACATAGGGGGTTTTGGGAGGGGGTTGATGATGAAAACGTTCTGGAATTAGATAGTAGTGATGGTTGCACATCCTCATGGATATACTAAAATCTGCTAAACTGTACACTTTGAAAGGATGAATTTAGTAGTATGTGAACTATATCTCAATTTAAAAAAAAAAACAATGTGCCATAAGAATACCTCTAACATGCACATCTGGCAGAAGCTAACCTGCAGGGTGACAGATGCAACAGAGCGATGTGGCCGCCTGAAATTATTCTGCTGCTCTCTAGTAAGTACACCTGCCTAAAAGAACCGATAACCATCTCGTTTCTTTATACCTTGAACTAAAATTAAATAGTCAAGAGGGTCCAACAAAAGAAGAGAAATCTCTGCATGTTGCTAGAAGAAACAAATGAAGGCTTTAGGTTATAAGTACACAAAAGTTACTACTGACTTCCATTGAGTTCTACCTAGGTACTAGGCACTGTGCAAACTAGTTTAATATGTCTTCTCTCCTTCATTCTCACAGTCAACTTGTATAAGACTATTTTTATATCTCTAGTTTTACAGAACAGGAAACTGGGGCTTAGAGAATATTTCCAAGCCTACACATCACTAACAGTCAAGGCAGGACTCGAGTCCCGGCCGTCTGCTTCTAGAGCTCCTGCTGTTGACTACTCTGCTGTGCTGCTTTCCTGATTTTCCAAATGCCATGTGCTACGGTCTGAACGTGTCTCCCCAAAATGAGATTAGTGCCCTTATAAAAGGTACCATGTTGGGTACGACCACCTAGATACAGGTTGGCAAATGTGATAGAGAGTTGTTAACAAATGTTTGAGGGACGTCTGTTCTGACCGATGGACCCAACTGACCGGAAGAAGTTGCCTAGAATGCTCTATTCAAAGGACCGTGAGGCTGGAGAAGAGGCAAAGGCCGCCGCGGTCGATGCGAATGTCCCCACGAGGGGCTAAGGTTAGGAGGCCCAAGAGCTACTTCCCTGCCACACACTCCATGACTAGTTCATCCCATGTTGCTCTTTAATTTCTGAGGCCCTCCTAAACACACTTGGGAAGACGATTCCACAATTAGGATTACAAGTTTTCAAAGGTTTACCTTTGCTTGCTCAGTCTGTCTATAAATAGAAAAGAGGGCTTCCCTGGTGGCGCAGTGGTTGAGAGTCCGCCTGCCGATGAAGGGGACACGGGTTCTTGCCCCGGTTCGGGAAGATCCCACATGCCGTGGAGCGGCTGGGCCCGTGAGCCATGGCCACTGAGCCTGTGCGTCCGGAGCCTGTGCTCCGCAACGGGAGAGGCCACAACAGTGAGAGGCCCGCGTACCGCAAAAAAAATAAAAATGAAAATAGAAAAGAAAGTACATTGGACAATATTTGAAAACTTTAAAAATTTATAAATCATATAATTTAAAATTACGTATCATTAATTAGCCAGGAGAAAAGTCTGCTAACACAATTTATAAAAATATATGACGTATGGCTGAAATATCACCTTTTTCTATAAATGCTGAAAGTCAGTTGTTTTACATTTTTTGTCCAGTAATTCACCTGAGCTACTTAGTTACTGTAAATAGTTTCAATTTAATAGGACAAATATTTTCTCTATATTACCTCATTCTTACCTACCAAGAGTTTAGTTCATTTACTTTATAATTGACTTATGACTACATAAATCAAAGTCATAAGCTTTACCCATGATCAGCTATATATTGAGACCATATTAAAAATACTGTTTGTTAAAATATAACCTAGTGCAATGAGGCACATTGCTTTTGACTGATCATTTCTAGCCTGATTTACAAATAGCAAATATTGTTTTATATTAAATAGCAGACACAAGGAAATGACCAAAACCTTCCAATTCATTTTCAGTCCCACCACACCTACAAAGCTAATTTAGTGGTAAAGCTAAATACCAAAGAGTGGTGAAGGCACCACCCAATGTATCAATGTTTCTGTCCAGTTTAACTGTGAAAATACATTGAGCTCCACTAATATTTAGAAATCTTCTGTCTTAATATAAATATGTCTTATTTTAAATAAAGAGATGATATTCATTTTAATGAGGGATCCATTTTAATTTCTATCAAAGTAGTGAAAGAGAAGTGGAAATTTTCAGCACTTGAAAAAGAGAAGGGTCTGCTCCTCACTAATGTAAGAACAGTACTTCCTTTTACCATGAGTCCAAATAACGTGTCCTGTAAGAAGCAAAAACAAAGCGACTTTGAAGATTATTTTTTTCCGTGGAACTAGTTGCGGGGCCAAGCATACATGTATCACTGAAAGGCCTTAAAGCTGGGCCTCCATGAGGATAAAAAGGTGGGAAGAAAATCTGCTTTTTAACTCTGATTTATTTAGAAAATGCAGTAAATTTTCCTCGTCTGAGTATATAAAGCATAAAGAACAAAAGAAGCTGCATTCTTATACAACCACAAGCCAGTTCAGATTAAAGGATGTTCTGAAGTACATGATTATTCCAAACACGCAATAAAATGCAGGAGACTAATGGACTACAATTTAGTATTTCTTGAGCTTGAAAAGCTAACATTTGTATGTACAGGCCAACCTTAATTTGAAAATCTTCCCTTTGCACATTTCTGCACCAGCACTTTTGATAATGTTGGCAGGGATCCAACACATATTTACAAGGCTTCATGTTACAGTAGACTTCATTTGCTGCCAGCTTGGCATCTCCACTGGAAACTCCAAGAAAAACAAAACAAAACAAAAAACTTCAAACACGGCTGAAAAACAGCTAGAAGTGTCTCCACTTCTAGCTTCACTAAGCATGATAAATAAATAGATTTCTTCTGTTTAATAATACCTTCACTAAGCATGATAAATAAATAGATTTCTTCTGCCTCTTCTTCACGTGACTGCTAAGACTAATGGTCTGTGCTAAATTCTTCTTAAAAACGATAAACACTGTGGACACATCTAAACATTTAGATACTTCAAGAGTTAGAAAGGAATACCAGTAAAATTGGAAATTAACAGCGGTCTTAATATCGAAAAAATGACAATATTCCTCAAATTGATGAACAGATTCAACACAATCCCTGTCAAAATCCCAGATGGCATTTTGCTGAAATTAACAAGTTGATCCTAAAATTCATATGGAAATGCAAAGTACCCAGAACAGGCAAACCAATCTTGAAATAAAACAAAGTTGAAGGACTCACATTTCTTGATTTCAAAACTTACTACAGAGTTAGGGTAATCAAAACAGTGTGCTACCGGCATAAAGACTGACATATATAGAATAGGATTAAGATTCCAGAGATAAACCCTTACATTGATAATCAGTAGATTTTCAGCAAGGATGCCAAGACAATTCAATGCGGGAATAAAATAGTCTTTACAACAAATGGTGCTGGGACAACTGGACATCCACGGGCAAAAGAGTGACGTTGAATTCCTTCATTACACAACACACAAAACGATCTCAAGATGGGTCACAGACCTCAATGTAAGAATTAAAAACACAAAACTCTTAGAAAGAAAATATAGGAGTAAGTCTTTGTGACCTTGACCTAAGCAAAGCCTTCTTAGATATAACACCAAAAGCATAAACAAGAAAATGAAATATAGATAAATAGACTTCAGCAAGTTAAAAAACTTGCCCTGCTAGGGATATTATCAAAAAGTGAAAAGAAAACCCACAAAATGAAAGAAAATATTTGCAAATCATATATCTGAAAAGAGACTTGTATCAAGAATATATAAAGAACTCTCATAAATCAATAATAAAAAGATAAAGAACACAATTTAAAAACAGGTGGAATCAATATTGTTAAAATAGCCATACTACTGAAAGCAATCTACAGGTTTAGCATGATCCCTATCATATTACCCATGACATTTTGCACAGAACTAGAACAAACAATCCTAAAATTTATATGGAACCACAAAAGACCCAGAATTGCCAAAGCAATCCTGAGGAAAAAGAACAAAGCTGGGGGCATAACCCTCCCAGACTTCAGGCAATACTACAAAGCTACTGTAATCAAAACAGCATGGTACTGGCACAAAAACAGACATATGGATCAATGGAACAGAATAGAAAGCCCAGAAATAAATCCACATACCTACAGTCAATTAATCTATGACAAAGGAGGCAAAAATATATAATAGAGAAAAGACAGTCTCTTCAGCAAGTGGTGCTGGGAAAGCTGGACAGTTGCATGCAAATCAATGAAGTTAGAACACACCCTCACACCATACACAAAAATAAAGTCAAAATGGCTTAAAGACTTAAATATAAGACATGACACCATAAAACTCCTAGAAGAGAACATAGGCAAAACATTCTCTGACATAAATCGTATCAGTATTTTCTTAGGTCAATCTCCCAAGGCAACAGAAATGAAAGCAAAAATAAACAAATGGGACCTAATCAAACTTATAAGCTTTTGCACAGCAAAGAAAACCATAAACAAAATGAAAAGACAACCTACATACTGGGA